AGAAAATTTAAAACTTTTTCGGGCGAAAAATTATACCAATCAAACACATTTGAAATCATTTTTCTTGCAAAACATTTTCTAGACAAATCTTTTCCCTGTAAAACATTTTCTTTCCACCCATTTTTCACACTTGCAATCAAACGCACCCTTAGTTTTAAGTGAAAAATGTATATTCTGAAAATAATATTTTACCATAATGTAAAGAAAATAATTCATTCAAGTTTCACTAGTAAAATATTTTTTTTTAATTAAAAACAGTTTATGTATTTATAAGTAAATCTTTTAAGTGGAGCTGGCTCGAGCATATAACATTAAAAAATAACTAGATACTATTGATTTCAATACGATTCATCAATAATAATATTGTTAGTGATTTCTGACAATGTCATCGTTAATCGCTGATGAATAGGCGTTGGTAATTACCAATAGTATCAATGTTATCAATTCTTTTCTATTACGAGTAAATGTTAATTTCAATCAGAATTACCAATCATTATACCTTCGATGATCACCATTGAAAATTCCATCCGTGATCATTTGCTCCATTAATTATTCTCAAAAGACTCTCTTAGCTATAATCATTTACTCCATCAATGATGTCATAATTATTCTCGAAAAAAAAATTCTCTTAACGATTTTGCTTAAAACCCCCCAAATTATTTGAATCGCCTCTATTTTTAAGCACAATCAAATGATCGACTAACCACTAAACAAAATTATTCTCTCCTTAAATTAACACAAAGTTTAAGTACATTTATATCTAAACAACATCATGTTTTGTTAGCAAAGTAGGCCATTTACAAACGATAAAGGGTATATTCTTCCAAATATTCTGTCTCTTTACAACTCACTTTGGTCTCACTTTATAAATTAAGAAGAAAAATGTCTGCGAGACAATATGAAAATACTTTGATTAGGTCAACAAATGTTTAATTGCTTTGAAATGTGTGATAATTAATTTAACATTTTCAACATTTAGCATGTTAGAAGTTAAATGTCCACATGTAAACTTAAGTTTCACATCTGACAATATATTGTTTAACAGATGACTACAAGAAAAATTTATTCACCAGTGCATTAAGATAATACGTAATGTCATTCTCCTATTATTGGTTGAAAATTTTCGTTCTCGTAAATATAAATGATGACATCTTTATTCCTTAAAATCCAATCACGAAATAAAGGAATATTTCTACCTATAAATCTTTATGGTATCAGCGTCTTGTCTCTTTATCCCTCGACTATTTCATTCTCGAAAATGTAAATGATGAGATCCCTTAAAATCCATTCACAAATAACTTAATATTTCTACGAATGAATCTTTCCGGTATCAATGTCTTGTTTTTGTCTCTTTATCACCGACTATACTGCATCAACACGAGTCGAAAGCACGGAGAAGACAGTCTTGAACTCTTGATACAACCTATTTGAAGACTTGATTGAGGAACAATTTTTATTTTTTCCCCTCATATATGTTTGTTACTAAACTATGTTTCCAAGTGATTGAATTACTATGGACAAACACGAAGAGTAGATTTCGACTGGATCAATTGTGTGTTGTTTTATAGGAGTATATTGAATACTGATCACGTGACGACAACTAGCATGCATGTTAATAATGTAGAAAGAGCATCTGATACCACGTGCATTTGGTAATTAATTAATTGACAAAAAACAATCATATATTCTTTCCCCCACCCACCAAAAATATTCAAAAGAAAAAAATAAATAGAAAATTGGTTTTGACTACTCGCTTCAACTGCCAAGAATTTTGTACAAATTAATATTTCTTATTTAATGAAAGTGGTGGCAGTTAATCACTCAACTTATATTGGTTTTTGAATTTTTTTTCTTTTTCGAAATAGTCACTGAAATTTACTTTTTATTTCAGATTGATCATTCTATTAAAAGCCAATAGTTTTCTAAGTCTTCATGTAAAATATTCAGCTGAATGATCAAGTTGAAATAAAAGTAAAATTTAGTGACTATTTTGAAATAAAATAAAGTTTGATGACTAACATAAAATCTCTCCGTAACTCCAGTGACCTTTTGTTTTAAATACTCGTTTTAAAGTATTGGGCTGTTCCCCGAACTTCCTATCAAGTATCTACAACAATAAGCCCATATTTCTGGAGATATAAATGACACAATTAGCACTAGACGTGATTAAATATTAGATGGATAACTCTTAGATCTTTGCTTTTTAATCGCACAAATAGCGGCGTAACTCAACTCAATCGCACTAGTCTTAAAAAAATGATATCTGACATGATGTGATGGATACTAACATTTCTTGACGATAGTCTTTATGCAAACGACAAGCCTTTTTAGCACTTCACAAGCGATTTATTCTCCTTACTTAATGATATATTGTGGAAATGTAACCTAAATAGTCGATAGCTTGAGTGCTACATAGGGACTATTGTTCCAACGTAGCCAAATCCCACAATTGTGAAGGCGATGGCTTGAATAAACATATATATAAAATAGTAGTTCGTTCTATAAAGGAAGTCATAGAATCCACATACAAATAGAAACATAGCCAACTCCAGCTCGTGTAGTAATATTCTGCAAATGTTTAAGACACGCATTAATTTTCATCATCATCCAAATATGTAAAATGTAACTAGTCTTGTGACCAAATTGCCACACATATATAGACATGTATGATCGAACGTAACACACATCAAGAATTACACGTAAATTACGTTGTCAATAAAATTGTTCAAAGCTATAATGCTAAAAGTAAGAGAGTGATAATTTACCGATCTCTAAGTTTAAATCGAACTTTCTTTGCTGGTGCTGCTGCTTCGGTATTCGATTTGTTCTTGAGAGCATCTCCAAGTTTTTGAGTAACAACCCATTCATTAGCCCTCTTGGCCTCTAGCAGACCGATGATTGTTGCCTTGGTTCGATGAAAAGCCATCACATTCTCAAATACGATCCAATAAAACAATAGATGGAATGACCTGAAAAATCACAAATATTCATTAGGTATACCACAAGTTTTGTCACTCGAATGCGCAGTTGTCGTTGAGTACGTAAAAATACCCAACCTTGGAGTTCCAAAGGAGCTTAATGTCGTGACAATGAACGGAATATAAATTGTTCCCCATTTTGGAATCTCAACTTCAGGAAAAAAAACTGTCAATGGGAATATAACACTGTAAAAGAAGAAATTGAACATGTGAACCATGATCTTCTTTACAAAGAAGAAGTTGTAGATCACATATACCTTCTTCCACACAGACACTTTCTGCCAAATCAGAAAACAAGATATTTTAGTTTCTTGTACAATTAAATCAGCTTCTTAGACAGATAATAAGGTTATTAAACAAACCTTATTCCTAACAATATCCATAGTCGTTTTTCTGAATAAATTTGCAGGACCACAAGACCATCGGTGCTGCTGAGAACGGTAGGCTTTAAAAGTACTAGGAAGCTCACTTTTCACCTAATTAATGTGAAATGCCTTAAAATATGGCAGGTGTTTTGCCAAAAAATCTTGATATTATGCTGTCCAGTCGCGTTGAATTCTGCTTACCAAACAAGACTTGACACGACATATAATTTGATTTAGTACCTGGAGGTCCCCAAGATATAGAAATTTCCATCCCTCGAGACCAGCTCTAACTGCCAGATCCATGTCCTCAACTGTTGTTCTAGCTTTCCACCCTCCTGACTCATTGATTGCTGCTATTCTCCATACACCACCGGTTCCTGAAATCGTATAACTTTCATCTTATTAATAACTATAAATTACAGTGTAAAATTTTAGAATTCCAATCACTTAGGTTGATTAATAAAACTAAACTGTCTTTGACAGTATCAAATTTACTGTTTTTGTTTTATCTGATCAACTAGGCACTTTTCTTAACTGCAGAATTACCATTGAAGCCGAAGAAGGCATGAGTAGATGATCCTGCTTCTTGCTCGAATGTAAAGTGGTAATCCAACGACATTTCTTGCATTCTTGTCGACAAACATTCATCCGAATTCACTGCAAAACCAACAAAATATTAACAATTTTCATTAGGATTCCAAGAGTTACTTTAAACGATCATGAAAAAGAAACCAGGCGTCATTTTATTTCCTTTCGTTTTTCCATGCATCAATATAATTTCTTTTAAGCCTTTTTGAGGGAATTCTTTAGAGTGTGAGGCTTACCAAACTTCCAACGAGCTTGTACAAGGGCAAGTTCCGGGTTATGCATGAGAAAAGGGATGCATCGTCGGAGAAAATCCGGTTCAGGTCGAAAATCGGAGTCGAAAATGGCTACGTATTCGCATTCTTTAACATAATCATGTTTCATACCTTCTTTAAGATTTCCTGCCTTGTATCCTCTTCTTGTTTCTCTAGTTTGGTACCTAATGTTAATGCCTTTACTTGCCTTCCTAATGCATTCTTTCTCAATCATATCCTACGACATAACGGTGGGGTGAGGATAATAATTAACGACAAAACCAGGAAAAGAAAGAAACCGCAAATAGTAATATTAATCGATAGTATAATTTTGTGATTATGTATTAAGGTCAGATATTCTCAAATACTAAAATTAAACCCAACGAATGAAAGCAATGAGGTTTGAAAAATAGTCTCATATTTTATGGTTAACAAAGTTGAATAAAGATCCATAGAACTTAAATAGATTTGAATTTGCTCTATCCAATTTGAGAAATTTGATCCATTAATGTTGGGATACTAATCCTTCGAGGATGGAGAAGAGAACCAATAGAAGTAGCAAACACCAAAAAATGGCTTGAACGGGTAATCGTTATCCTCAAACTAAATTTGCCGCATTTAGGATTGATTTTGACGCTTAAAAGGACTCGAGGGAAATTTTTTGTAGGATTGAACAAGTCTAGAAGAAGAATAAATACTTAAGCACTTATATTTTTTCTTAAAATTTGAAGAACACTGAAGTATATGAATAGTTATAGAGACTTTTTAATAACTCTTCACTGTGGAATGTGTTAAACATTGTGCTTAACACTTTGGCTCAATGATTTAACCCATTTATGTTGCTCAATGATGCAGCCTAATTAATATAGAGTCCAGCCCAAGTTGATAGAATGCAACCCGGCTGCCTCCTTTTTCATTTTGTGCATTCTCGCCTTTTGTAGAAATGCGATTTTTGTTATTATTTTGAAAGGCTATGATGATGCCATTTGGAAGTGTTGTAACCGTTTGATGCTTTTGACTTTTTGTATTATTGGGCTGATTCTTCATTTTGACGAGGCTTCGAGATTTTTGCCTAGGGTTTTCTCTCATTCTTTGCTCTCTGTATTTTATCTGAAAACTCTTTGATTATTGGTTCTAGATACTTTTAGTGAAGTCTAGTGTAGATTGCTGTGTAATTTTGGTGAATCTGTTCTTGGTTGAGCAATAACCTTAGATTACTTGGTGTAATTGGGTTTAAGAATTCTTAAAAGAAGAAAACTCGGTTTGAGGGCTAAATCTGTTTGGATTTCTGTATTTTGACTCTTGTACTGATAATCTTTGTTGGTTTCTAGTGGATTATAGCGATAAGCCGATAACCACTTTGATGGTTGCTCAACGTGGTGATTAACCCTTTCTAGGGTGAACATCTGGGTCTAAGGACAAAAAATCACTAGTATTCTTTAATTTCTGTTATTTGCTTGATGTTATCAAGGAATGTTTATTACTATAGAATAATTTATTTTATTGGTTGTTTGATTGTGTTTAAGAATGAAATATATCTCCTATTTATAAATTATCACTTATACACCGCGAATAGGCCTAAATGGTTTATAAAAAAGATGAGTTTTTTTTTTCAAGAAAATGCACCTAAAACGAACCAGGAAAACATACCTAATGGTTTGAATTTTTTGAACTAGGCAATCAGGCCATCCAAAAACTCCCAGGTCACCCGACCCCCTTCGTTTTTTTTATCGTTTTGCCTCTAGTGTTTTCGTATATGCTCGACACACTTAGTGTTCTAAAAAGCGTAATGCATAGAAGTCAAGCTATAGGCTATACAAGATTAGGCTAGGCATATGCGTAAAAAAAAGTTTTTTTTTATTTTAATATTATTTTAATTTTTAATCAATAAAAAATCATTTAATAATTAAAAATAATACCTATCAAACATCTAAAACAAATTTTATACATTTTTACGAAAATTTCCAACAAAAAGATAAGTTTCAAATGTAGACCAACATTTAAGTTTTAACTTAAAATAATTGTAAAATAATTTTTTTAAATTTTTTTTGAAAAAATAATAGTGCTCGCCTAGGTACTCATTAGCGGTCAATGATTGCCCTTGACCGCTAAATAAGGTGCCAAGCCACTTGACTTGGCGTTTTCACCGCGCATCGCACCTAGGGTGACGTCTAAACGCGCTTTTTAGAACGCTGGATACACCCATATAGTTGTATAATCATTCCAATACACTTATCATTACAAGTTGAACGACAAATTACAACAGTTAACACAGAAGAGAAATTGGAATTAATACTGCGAGCTCTAATGTTCGAGATATAAATCGCTTGCGTGAGCCAAGATAGCGTCTTTTAAAGAGTTTTACTACTGCATGCATGTGCTATATATTTCAGAAGCAAAAGATAACAATTTCTAGGCATAAAACCTAACAATTTCGAAGTGGGATTTGAATTTCTTCTTTATGCGAAGAAGTAAGTTGTGAATTTCTGATGTTTACCTTGATATCAGAAGAATCATCAAGTACTTGAATCAGTAAACGATCAGCAGGCCATGAAAGATTACATGCTGCACCAATGGAGATCTTGTAAACCTGTCCCAAAAACAACAAATATCAGCCTTTTTCTCACACCCCACAACTAAATTGGAGCCAAATTGTACATACTCAGAAACAGAAAGACCTCTTTTTCATTGCACATGGGGATCTGGACAAGAACCAAAGGAAAAGCTGCATTACCAATCTCAACATCATCCTGCACTGGCTCCCATATGTATCGCTTTTCGGGTTTTCTCTTAAACAGTTTAACAAAGATTACTACGATTAACATGTAAAGCCTCTCCACGGATACAATCATAGACATAACCAAGCCCAGATATACAGCAATTCTCAGCAGTGGCACTACCAGTGGCACTTTAATCAGTTCTCGCAGCAACCCAATTTGGCCTGTAATATCCGCCGTAGAGCGCGAAAATGATTCTGGAATGAAACTCTTCAGAGAAACCTCGGCCATTTTTTGTTTCCCGATCTCCCTTTTTCTCAATTCTGTTCAATCAAGAAACTGCAGTGGAAATTCTCAGTTTTACACACACTATTTCATTTCAGACTTAAATACCCTCTCTCTTTTCTATTACATCAACATAGAAGAGAGACAGAGAAGCACTGCGGGCATTGTGAAAGTACACAACTAGTCTTGTAAGTGAGAGTTGAGCAAGTAGTATGTTTTTATGAATAAAGAAGTACAAAACACACTAAATCTAATTAGGTTCTGGTCGAATTCTAATTGAAATCAATTAAAAATTTAAAAGTAGACACAACGCAAAAGAGAATAACTTAAAACCTTAAAAAGAGAGTGAAAGTAAAAGACACTAGATGCACTTCTAGTCACCTTTTAGTTTTTGTTAATTCATAAGAACACTAGAAAAATTAAGCATCAAACACTCGTTGATTCGTACAGACATATCAAAAATGGGTTAATTTCACAAA